CAGCGGCGACGAGGAGGAGGGGCCCCTTGTTGAAGACGCGGGGGCGGAGGCGGCGGCGGAGGGGGGCGCGGGGGCTGGGGCGGCGGCCGGCGAGGCGGCGGGGGCCGCAGGCGGCGCGGAGCGACGCAGCCAGCGGTACACCGCTGACAAGTACGGCCCGATGGTGTACACATTGAGCGTCGTGATGCTGCAGGCCGCGCCAGACAGGGAGGGCGCCCGGAGGGAGGGGTCAGGGGCCGGCGCTGAGCGGCAGCAGAGGCGGCGGCGGCAGCAGGTGCCGGCCTCGGAGGCGGCGGCAGAGGCGGCCGGGGGAGACGCGGCGTTTGCGGAGGCGGCAGAGGCCGCTGCGGCTGCGGGGCCGCCGGCCGACACGGGGTTCTAGACGTGCCGCATACGTGTGCTGCATGATGCTGGATTCGTGTCTCTTGATGAACTTATGTGTGTGCTGCTGTTGCATGAATTGATCATGGTTGACGTCACAACCGATGGGCGTGCCCCTTGGCATCCCTACACTTTGGAAGTAAGCAATGGCATGTGATCTTGGCGCACATCACCAGCAGGGAGGGCTGAGTGATCGGGTGGGTCTCTCTCAAGCACTCGCAAACAGCTGCTCATGTTGCTGTTGACATGGTGTTGACTGGGTTGACTGCCATGCCAGCTGACTCCAGGGCTGACCTTCGAGGAGAAAACAAATTTCTTTCCAATATTTTATCGGCTGTGTGTCGGCGTCAATGCGTCACCAACGCTGGCATTGTGGGCGGGATCGACGCCCAGCGGGGTCTTGCGCCGTGACTGAGTGACGGCAGGTCGCACGCTGCAGGCGACAACAGTCCTTTGCACGCGGGCTCAGGCAGCATGTCATACACAAAGGTGTTCCCTTGCGACTTCTAGCCGATTTTGACACCGGCAGCGATCGTACTGTCGCAGATCCTTGCTATCGAGCTCATTGGCCTTACCTGGGTGTGGTCAGGAGTAATAATCGAGATCTAAGTCATGATGCTGCAGCATGGCCGTCCGTGCGCCGTAGTGACAGCACAGCGTCCTGGAAGGGCGCAGCGCATGGCTGCCCGCCCACGCTGCAGCACCCGTAGCGGCTCCAGCGGGCACAGCACGCCGCAGAAAGCGTGCGGCAGCGCCGGCGGCCTAAGTTGCCTCAAAACTGTTGCTGCTGCGAGTGCTGCTGCCATCCTCTTGATCGGATCCCCACTGCCGGCGTCTGCTGCTGGACAAGTGAGCGCTGCGGGCGCCTGTACGCGTCCATGAGTGTCTGCGTGCGTGCGCACAATCATGCGCGCACGACTGCCGCCAGCGGCCGCGACGCTGCCGTCCCTTCATGCACGCTTCCCCTACCGTACCCCTGCGGCGCCGCCTGTGACCAGGCTGGGGTCTCCCCTTGGGACGAGGCCAAACGCATTCAGCTGGGGCCCACGCGCGACGGCCGCGTGCGCCCGTGCGGCATCAACCCCAACTGCGTGTCAACTGCAAACTTGGATGACCTGTATGGGCCGCCCTGGCGGTCACCGGTGAGCGGGGTCGGGCGGGTTGTTGGCTGGTTGGTTTTGGGGTTGCCGGCGTAATTGGCTGCTGCTGTTGCATGCATAACTGGGACGAGGGCGAGGGCTGCTGGAGGGCAGTTGCATACATGCACTGGAGGCCAAACCGCGCTGTTGACCATGACCAGCTTAAAGCCTGCAGTGTAATTACCGTTGATGCTGGGGCGGTCAATCGGCATCGTCATCGCGCTGATCCGGGAGCTCAGCGCGATGACCATGTGGTTGATGCCATTCGCGATGCCCATGCCGCCGCCGCCCCGCCAAGCATCCCAACACGCGTGCCGCGCGCACCGCAGGACACGCGGCCCGTCGCGGCGGCGGCCGTGCTCGAACAGGCCGTGGCGGCCGCTGTCGCTGGTGCTGAGCTGGCGCAAGCGACCACGCTCGCTGACGGCGCCGAATACCGCGCCTGGACCGTGCCCAGGTCGGCGCCCAAACGTGTGAACGTGGGCGGGTCGGATAACAACCGCCCCCATAACAGCGGACGCTGCGGCCGCACGGGGATGTGTGTCGCTGCTGCTGGCAAGCTCATGCATGGTAGAGCCTCCGTGCATGCATATGCATGAACTCAAGCCTTTCACTTCCCTCGCCCCCAGCCCCCACATTACTGCAGCTGCCCTGCACCCAAATCTCCGCGGCTGAGCGCCTGCTGAACTCGCAAGCAGTGCCCCTCACCAATGATCCCCCCCTCTCCCGCCTTGCACCCTCCTCTTGACATGCAATCCATCAACGTCCGCCAGTCTGTTTGGACAGGATGTCCTGGAGGTGGTTTTGAGGGGCGATTCACCCCAGCCAACCCAGGCAGCATCAAAACAGCAGCAGCAGCAGCAGCAGCAGCAGCAGCAGCAGCAGGGGCAGGAGCAGCAGCAGCAGGAGTCAACCAACCAAGCGAAGGGGGAGCAGCAGGCGGTGCGCGCGCGGGGCGTGTTAGTCACCTACCGGTCGCAGGCCGGGACCTTGAAGGTGGGGCCCCCACGCTTCCAGGGCTTTGGTGGGGCGGCTTGGGTGCAGCAGGCCGCTTGACTCGTGCTCACAGCGCAACACAGTGGCGCACAAGACCAATGCCCTGCCGCCCCGCCGTGCTTCTTGTCCGCAGTTCCTGTATCCCTTTCAGGTGAGCGCCTGTCTGCAGGGCCAGGAATGGGGTGCAGGATTGCGCTGCTATGAACTGCTTAGTCCCGGATCGGGGTAAGTGGCGCCCCTCCACCTCACTGCTCACCGGCGAGCCACACCCTGCTGCCACACAGACCCCCATCACCGACGGCGGAGCGCAGAAGAAGCGCCTGGATTCCCTGAGGTGGGCGCAGGGCCCGCTATTTGCGGTTTGACCCAGCCTTGACCGCGTCATATGTGTGGAAAGACGTCAGCAGGCTCATACCGCCTCTCGTCAGGGGGGTAGAAACCAAATGTGACAACCTCTGGGCAGCACCAGTTCTGAATGAGCTCTCACGGCTTGCTGGCAGCTGGCCGACTTTTAGCCACAACAATCAACTGCCTTCCCTCATATGTGTTCTAATTGCCGACAGGCAGGAGCTCGGCTGGCGTGTGGAGGGTTGCAGCTACCTGGAGTGCTATTAGCACGAAGCACCTACACACTTGTTACCAGGGTGGTGATGCACTGAGAGAAAAAGGATTTGAGGAAAATTGAATGGAGCCAGGCAAGCCACGCTCAGCACTGCTTGTTGGTGATGTTGTTGAGAAAACCTGAGCAGGCCACAAAACGCTGCACCCAGCGCCTGCTCAGATGCATCCCTGCCCATCTCAGGGGTGATTGTGGGATCGCAGGGGCCGCTGCCACTCTCAAACGACAGTGTCGAGAGCAAAACTGCCTGCTTCAGGGCAGGCAATGCGTCGGATGAAATGCATGGCGGCTAATCGGCGGGCCGAGCAGGGGCCCACCCGCCCTCCATGTGACAGTGCCAGCACATCACTGGCCCCCTGCGTTGATGCGTGCACAGACCATTCCAAGGCCGTGCATGCGATGCCGTCACACCTGCAGCTGCCCTACAAACACGAGGGGCCGCCGACCACGTGGCGCGGCCGCCCACACAAAGCCGCTGCACAGGCCGGGGCCCCGCCTGCGAACAGCACGCTCACGCTCACGTGGCCGCGGCGGCGCCGGCCCCGTTGATCACGGCGCCTCCGGCCGCAGCCGCGATCCACTGCGCGAGCTCGGCGGCGCCTCGGCGGGCGAGCTGCGCCGCGCCGCGCCCAAACTCCAGTGTGGCGTCCCACGGGGCCTCGTCCCCGCGCCCCAGCCGCCGCCGGAGCGCCACGAACTCGCAGAGCAACACCACGTGCAGCAAAAGCAGCGCGGCCAGCAGCAGCGTGTGTAGGCTGGGCGGCCGGTGGACGTGCGCCCCGGAGGGGAGCCGACGGCGCCGCGGCTGAAGGCCCGGCGGGGGCAGGGAGAAGCTAGCCTTGGCCGTGGCGCTCAGCGCGCGGCTGGCGCGCGGCCGCGAGACGTGGACCTCTGCACAATGCGGGGAGGGTGAGGGCCGGACGGCCGACTGTGAATCTCAATTCGTGACGGGCGCGGCGCGCAACGTTCGTGAGACACGGCAGCGAGAGGAGCACGGCCACCTGCCCCTGCCGCCCCGCCCGCGCCACCCACCTCCGTCTGCCGGCGCCGCGCCCGCAAACGGCGTCGCGCCCGTCCCCGCCGCTGCCGGCGCCGCCATCTCCGCCGCCGCCCGTGCCACCTTTTCCAGGAACCCCGCAAAAAACTCCCGGCAGTCCGAGACCGACGCGGCGCTGATGACGCCCTTCAGCACGCAGAAGCGGCTGAAGGGCACCGCGACGCGTATCTCCACGCGGCAGCCGGCGCCGTGGTCGGCGGGGCGCGCCTGCGGGAGGGCGCCGTGCCGCGCGAGAAGCGGAGGCGCGGTCTATTGTTTGCGCGTGGTGCTGTGCAACCTGAACCCTGAACCCCAAAGCGATGCCCCTGGTTGCGGCTGGTTGCGAGAGCTCCAGGGATCGGCGGGGCGGCGCCAGGCGCCCTGCATGGCGCTAAGGCGAGGCGCCTGGCCCCTTGCCGCTCACCAGCCAGAAGCTCTGGACTCGAAACGCGTCCGCGTATGGGATGCCTGCCGGCTGCATGTCTGTCGTGAGCGACAGCACGCCGCCCGGGTGCACGCTGAGCCGCTGCTGCTGCACGCAGCGCGCGGGCACGCTGCACACGCCTTTCTTCGGCTGGACGAACGTAAAAACGCGCGAAAGGCCGCCGGCGCCGTCCGGCTTCCACCTGATGCCCCACAAGGGGCAGGAAGGCGGGGGTGGCAGAGGGCGGTGATTGGTTGGAGTGGGGCGCTGGCGCCAGTCCAGGTGGCGGGGGAATTTTGGTGGCGCAGCCGGCGTGGCGCCCCGCCACCAACGCAGCGGACGCTTTGCCGACGATGGCGCCGCCCTTCAGAGCAGCCTTGCAACAGGACAGCAGCTTTCACTGGCATCGAGCCCTTATCAGTGTAGCAAGAACCCCTTGTCAGAGACTCAGCAGACACACATGCACATGCAAGTGCACGCACACACACACACACACACACACACACACACATGCGCTCACGCGTGCTCTCACCTGGTGGCCCGAAAGGCGCTCTGCCCGGCCGCGACATGGTGGTCCTGCAGGCAGCTCGTTTCTATGCTAAGAAAACTCTCGTAAAACTGGTAGACGGTTATGGGCAGGTCGGCGCTCGCCACCAGCTTCGCGTCCGGCGGCAACGCCGGCGGCAGGTCGGGGCAGGGCTGCCACTGCTCGCGGGCCGCCGGCAGGTCGCCGAGCTGTTGGCATAGGGAATGGGATGGAGGGGTTGGCCGGGCAGTTGGCGGTTTGCTGCGCCCCCGCAGCCGCGTTTATACTGGCTACGACGACATCATATGGTAGGACCTGAGCTCAGCGGCTGGGGGCGGCGGCCCCGGGCATTGTGTTGGGACCGTCGGCTGGTGGCGCGGCTTGCCAAACGTGGCAGCAAGCGCTGCACACGCCATCCCGCGTGCATGGATGGGTGTTGCACGGTCAGAGGCGGCGCACGCTCACCTCGTCATCATCTGCCTGTTGCTGCTGCTGCTGCTGCTGCTGCTCCAAAGGACTGCGCTTGCCGCTGCCGTTGGCCCCCAGAAATGTCTTGCCTGCGGGGTGCCGACGACGGGCGCCGAAGCAGCAAGGTGCGACGCGCGAGGCGTAAATTTTTGCGGCCCCGTCCCGACGACCGTGACCCACACAAGCACAGACCCATAGTAATCCATCCTGTCCTTTGCCAAGTTGTCTGGCTCGTCCACCTCACCTGCCGCTCGCACGAGGCCAAACCCAATTTTCAAAGCGATCGCGGCTGTTGCCGCGTGCAGTGCAGCCTGCCCGACGCTCCTGCGTTGTCTAGATCGCCTGTCCTCCATGCTAGTGGCTCCCACGGCCCGTCCCTCAGGCAGTTTACGACGACCCACTCAGTGCCTCAGCAGCATCCGCATGATGACTGTCGGCAATCAAGAAGAGACCCGAAGTGTACAGCGGGTAGAGAGTGGAGATTTGAGGCTGCATGGAGAGTCGGCGACGAGTTTTTTGCAGCGCGACCGTCATGGTCAACGGAAGAGCTCAAGCACAGCGCCATATACACCGTGCAAAATTCAGAAACATCTGTAGGAGGTACAGCTTCTCTGACAAGATGCTTCACCTTGAGCACAATAACTCTCGCATCATATTTTGGACACACGGGCCACCATGCCTGTCCCATTGGCGCTAAATGAGCAAAGCGAGGATAAAAGGGCATGGTGCTCACCTGCGGCAGGTGGGCAAGGGGTCAGTGGCAGCGCCCCGCGCCAGGTCGCCTGAAACGTCCGCTTGTGCTGGGCGTTTGCGTGCATCTGGCACCGGAAATCATACCACGCAAACCTTCTGCTGCCGCAGACAAGACAAAGCCTCCACACTGGGCACGCAGCGTACCGCAGCAAGTCGCGGCAGCGGTCTCAGCGGGCGCAGCCGGCGGCCTGCTGCTCCACAGCGCGCCGCCCGCGGCACAACCATCAGCCGCCCAACCAGCCACAGAAATGGCCCCGTTCATGCTGGCCTGCGGTCCCCGAACCGCTGACCTGGCTGCTTGGGAGCACGCCCTTCCAGCTGACGTCGCACGCGCCTTTCTGCATGCCCGGCAGCACCTGCAAGAGGATGCGGAGCACCAGCAGGTGGTCCAGGCAGCCGGCGGCCGCGCGCGCGCCGCGGGCCCCAGCCCACGAGCCGTCGGTGCGCCCGCATTGGCCCTGGCTGCGGTTGCGCTGCCCAGTGCGCCGGCGGCGGTGGAGCGTGGCCGCTTTACAGCGTGCCGCCTGACAGGGTGCCGTAGTGTGCAGCTCAATGCAAGGGCTGCTGGTGCTGGGAAGGCGCCAGCAGCACATGCCCCAAGCAACGTCCCGGACTGCCTTGCGCACGGGACGCCTGGTGCGCTGCTGCCCTTCGGGTCGTGCGCAAAGCCAGCCCAAGCTCCTGCCCTGCTACCAGCTCCACCGCCGCGGCTGTCGGTGTCGCAGCTGCCACAACCGCAGGAGCAGCGGCAGCAGCAGCTGCCGCCGCCGCCGCCGCCGCAGCAGCAGCAGCAGCAGCAGCAGCAGCAGCAGCAGCAGCAGCAGCAGCAGCAGCAGCAGCAGCAGCAGCAGCAGCAACCAGTAGCGCCAGAGCCCAGGGCTTTGGCCCAAAACAAGCAAAGAGGCTGGTTTGGCAGGATGCTGGGGAGGGTATCATCCGCATTCTCAACATCTTCATCCGAGGCTCAGAGCGCACAGGTCACAAGTGGGGCTCACCAAGATGGCACGGTGACCCGCACTTTGAAAGCTGAAGAGGGCGTGGTGTCAGCAGCCAGAACACAAGAATTACATGAAGCATCTGTGAAGGGCATCTCGCGCATTGCCCATGGCGCCGGAGCTGTTCAAGCCGGGGACGCCGCAGTCGAGGCCGTGGCTCAAGAAG